CGGGGCGGCGGGGGGGGGGGGTTCCGGGGGGGGGGGGGGTGTTACCGATCTCCCACCTTCCTCCCCCTCTCCCCGTGCGTGGTACGGTCCGCTCCTACCTCTCGGCGCCCTCACTTCGCCCTCCCGGCGGAGCCGCGAGTGGCTGGGGGGGGAGCCATAGCCGCTGCCTCGTCTTCCCGCTCCGTCCGCCCTCCCCTGCTCCCCCCCCCACGGGCCGGACACAGTTGGTTTATTCCGAGAAGCCGGCCGGTCTTCTCCCCTTAAACCGCTGGGTCTCGCACGTCTTCGGCCATTTCCGACCGAAGCGGCGGAAGTTGCCGAAGTGGCGGCGGAACTTAACGAAGAGAGGCGGCGATAGGCGAAGCGGGGGAGGAGATAGGCGAAGCGGGGGCGGAGATACCCGAAGGGTTGAGGGCGGGGAGCAGCGAGACTCTCGCCTCCGGAACCTCCCGGGAACAGCCGAACCCGGCTCGGCTCTCGTCACTGCGCACGCGCGCCGCGCCCGGGAGCGTTTTCCCGCCTAAAAGGCCGGCGCGCGCCCCCCGTCCCTCACACCTTCCGCTCCCCTCATGGAGGAGTCGCCATGTTGGCTGTGTCTGATTTTGCCTCGAAGGCGCAGCCGCAGCCCTGTGTAGCCCCTTAAAACCCTGTCAGTGTCCCCCTGGAGCTCAGACAGTCCATGCAGTGCCCCAAGAACCCCGTGAGGATGCTGCCATGGAGCCCCATCATGCCTCAGCCTTATAGTGATGTGGACGCAATGGTAGCCACTGGCCGGCTGGGAGACACCCAGCTGCCTTCTGGTAAAAGGGGTTAGGAAAACAACTGTATCGTGGGAAACTGATCAGCAGATACTAAAATACCACTATGGTTCGGAGTTTGTTACAAAATAACACCCAGATCCTCGCTGGAGGGCTGGCCTGAACAGCATCAGTAGTTACATGTTGTGAAGTCAGAGGAACCATGTAGACATAAGCGAGTTCCAAACATAGCATGCAACAGATGGTAACTGAAGCAAAAGAGGGGAAAAAAAGCAATGAAGAAATAAAGGACGGGGGAAAAGCCAAGTAACAGTGCCAGCATCTTCTCGCAACCAAACCACGTCGCACCAGTCCAGTCCTCTGTTTATGCATTCTAATTTTATGTATTAGGAGCTCCACGAAAGGCATTTGTATCTATGGCAATCAAATCCCACACCAAAACACACATGATAACTTTGTGGGAATTAGAGAGTTTTTCACAGGAAGAAATGGGGGTTTATCTCCACGAGTAAAGAGGGTGGTGTGTTTCAGGCCAAAAAGCTGCAGGAATCTCAGCTTTAATAAAACATGAGCACTTCAAAGCGGCGAAAAACCACTTTTCCATCACTCTGCACTTTTTAACAGTCATTTACACATGTGTAAAGAATGCAAGTAGAAACTAACTTTTATTCTGAGATGAAAAACCAGCGAGGGGTGAGGCGGGGGCACAGGTCTGCCCTTTGATAAACAATAAAAAATCCAATCTCGCCGCAGGGAACGTGCTGTACGGAAGGGCAGGAATAGGTACTGCAGGTTGAAAGGCTCAGAGGAGAAACAATACTTTTTATATTTTATCAGGACAAAAAAATTTTAAAATACTATGACTACGGCACAGTATAAAGGCTAAATTAACATTCAAATCACTGAACACACCCACGTTGTCCTACCACACACATCTGTTCCCACTGTGCCATGGCTCGGGGGTTTTGTATTCCACCCTGATCTACTTGGAGCTCTGCAGGAAGAAACTGCAGGACAATCATTCCCTTCAGGTCCTCACCGAGGAGGAAACACCAGTGGAGATTGTGCACTTCAGGGACAACTCAGGAGAACAATTCTTCTCCCAGCTCCCAAAAGAAAAGGAGCTGTCAGGATCAGTAGTTGGTCTGGCAAGTCTCCCTTTCAGGAAGCACTCTCAAGGCTATTACAGATTATACTGACAGAGACACCTTCAGATTTAATCCCCTTCTCTGTGTGTTTCCCCTTAAACTTAAAGAGGAGTTTTTAGCTTCCCTTCTACCAAGTGAAAAATCCACTTCTCCTCTGCCTTCTGCTTATCCCAAAAGAAAAACTACTGTATTCAAATACCCTAATTTCCCACCTTTTCTGCCATCTGGGCTTTTATTTCTCATATAGATGTAAAATTTCCACATCAGAAATGGATCCTAAAGGGCAGGGTCTATAATCTATGATTAAGAATTATTTAAACAAGAGAATAAGTTGCTGATAAAGTTGCTCGACACCTTCCTGGCAAGGAAAAGCCTTTCACTCCTATCAGCTTCCAAACCCAGAGGAACAGACTCAATTCACTCTGCCAATCCTGTTAGAGACTTGGAAACTCCGTGGTGACCTTGAGTTGAAGCTGACAGGGTGGAGGACTGAAAACACTAATCCTACTGTAGGGAAGCAAATGTAAAGCATGGCCGCCTAAAAAGCAGCCACAGTTTAGATCTTGGCCTTCTGTTCAAGCTTTAGGAAGAAATCCTTCCCTGTGAGGGAGGTGAGGCCCTGGAATAGAATTCCCAGAGAAGATGTGGCTGCCCCCAAATCCCTGGAAGTGTCCAAGGCCAGGTTGGAGATGGGGCTTGGAGCAACCTGGGATGGTGGAAGCTGTGCTTGCCCATGGCACTGGAGGAGCTTTAAGGTCCCTTCCAACCCAAAGCAGTGTGGGATTCTGCTGACAGAACGACTTCTTTAGACACCTCTGTATCATTTCAGGCTGGGAACCTCCCTTAGATTTATTACCTTTCAAGTTGCTCTGCACTTGGCAGCTGCAGCTGAACACAGTAAACGCCGTTACACCTTGTGTCCTCTCCATGGAAGTCGTCCCCACTTTTCCCCTTTTCCTAACGCCCACCCCATTCCCTCTTCCTCATCCACTTCCTCCTAAGCATGGCTTGCATCCCGGTGTCTCCAATCTGCTCTAAATTACATTGAGTCATTGCAGGCAGGTATTAAGGAGTTTCAGAGCCAGCTAATGCACATTTCCATGGCACTCTTCCATGGCCTGAAATAAACCTCAGAAAAACATGGAACAACCATGGCAGGGAAGACCCTGAGCTTCCATCTTTCCCCTGCTGCAATCTTTTTGCTACATCTTTTTTAATCTCTTTCTCCTCCTTTCCACAGCAGACGGTACCAAGGTCGGACCATCTGCGGATTTTACAAGTTCCATGGAATGTTTTCAGACCGCACTCTTAACCTCAGACACTCCTATCGGATTTCAGAGGATTCAGCCACTTTTTAGCCCCAGGGTGCTGTAGGTGCTAAATAGATTATCTACATCTCTCAGCCACTATGGAACAACTACACAGCAAAGCTCAGTTTTTAATCCTGCTGAGACTCCGACTGCTTTTGGCCATCAGGTATCCCACAGCTTCACGAGAGGAAATGTTAATCTGGAATGCTGGCCAAACTCCAGTTTAGGTAATTATATTCTGACAATTTACATTTTCCCTGCAGTTTTTAAAATGGATATGGATTTTTTTTTTTTCTTCCCTTACTTCATGACAAAAAGCAGTGGCCTGGTCGTGCTCCTGCTGTTGGAGCAGCTGCCAGGCTTTGCAGCTTAAGTAGCTGCATTTCACTGGTAGGTAAAGACATCTCAGTGCAGTTAAATAAAACCCTTTGAAGACCCCATGGGCACGAGGAGTATTGTGACAATGCACCCCACTGCTGGCCATAAAGCATGGCAAGGGCTGGAACATGAAATGAAACACCCAGGTGCAGCATCTCCTGGCAGGAGCAGGAAAGGAAAAGTCAGCACAGGAATGGACACACAGACCCTTCCCTCCCAAATCCTAATTCTGCTTTGGACCCGGTGCAGCCCCAGCTGGGATCCAAAGAGCAAACACAATGAACTGGCAGCATCCTGCACAGAGGAACCAGCTCCTGACAGCAAAAGAAAATAAGCTTATAAAAGTAGTGGAAGCTTTTGGCAAAATCCTGGAGGACACTGCCTGGTGCTTCAATGGGATGAGGAAAAGAAATGCTGTTCCCTTGTTAATGAGGCACAGTTACTGGTTTTATTTCACCTGGCTTTGTAAAAGAAAAATCATTGGGCAAGAAATGGAGTAGAAGCTTTTGTTTGGGGTGGAATACTATGGATCACACTCTGAATATGTGGAATTGTACTACCACATGTTTGATTAAGGACAAACATTCTAGATAAATTAATTAAATTACTGTATTATCACAGAATCACATAGTGGTATGAGCTGGAAGGGACCTTAAAAATCTTGTTCCGACCCCATTACCACAATGCCTTGTTTATAAAACCATTCATAACCACCCTGGGTTCTTTTCTTCACAAGAAGCTTTCTAAAAAGCTTTTTCTTATTTCAGCAACAATTCTTCAAGCTCTGAAAGATTAGGACAGTGGTGACAAATAAACCATGAGATTCTGGATGGATACAGACACATGTAGCTTTCCCTCCTTCCCAGCTCACTGTCAACCAAAGGCTGTTACTATACTGAGTATTTTTCACAAGTAGTTTGTTGATCAAAATGTGCTTTTCCCCATTCCCAAAATGATCAAAAATTAATTTCAGTGTGATGGGTCACTCCTGGCTTGACGTGGTGGGAGAGGTTAAAGGTAGAGCAGGTTTCCCTCCCCTTGCTCTGTAACAGCTCACAGTAATTCTACACCAATCCAGCATCAAAAGAAATTATCTAAAACATATCTAAATAGAATTTATCTACAGAAGTAATTTTTAAAATCCCGTTAAGAAGCTTCTATGGAAATTCCATGGTACAGACACATGTAGCTTTCCCTCCTTCCCAGCTCACTGTCAACCAAAGGCTGTTACTATACTGAGTATTTTTCACAAGTAGTTTGTTGATCAAAATGTGCTTTTCCATGTTGCTAAAATGATCAAAAATTAATTTCAGTGTGATGGGTCACTCCTGGCTTGACGTGGTGGGTGAGGTTAAAGGTAGAGCAGGTTTCCCTCCCCTTGCTCTGTAACAGCTCACAGTAATTCTACACCAATCCAGCATCAAAAGAAATTATCTAAAACATATCTAAATAGAATTTATATACAGAAATGATTTTTAAAATCCCATTAAGAAGCTTCCATATTGCAGTACTCCTGGAAATTCCATGAACTTTTAAGAAAGACAGAATCCAAAGCAGGAAGCAGCAGCCCAGCCTGGTGACAGCCAAACAAAACTCCAACTGGATCTTGGCAGTGGCTGAGCAACAGTACAAAATACCAGCACTGCCTCTCTCCTCAAGGCTCCTTCCCCTTCCAAACCCTGCTGCATTTCTGGAAAATTCCCTTGAATTCCTGGAGTATTACAGCTAACCATGCTTCCCCTTCATCTC